TTTGGGGCCTAAGGTTTCTTGAAGGTTTAGGGCTTAGGGTATCATCACCATCATCACCACCGTCATACACTATAATCATCATCAACAACATCAACACGATCATCCTCTGTAAAAACTGCAGCAACAACAACCACAACAAGCAACCACGGTATCTTCACGAGCATGGCTACTGTCGCATCCATTATTTGAGGGGGGCCTTCTTGTATCCCTTGACAGCTTATCGATCCCCTTTCATAAATTGTCAGTAATACTATTCCTGAGTGTTCCTTTGTGTGCCTTCGAGTTCGGGTTTACCGCTTACAGCGTCTAGGGCTTTCCGCGAAAATGCATACTGTCATCATCTCAGAAAGCATATTATGTCCACTGATACCGACTCTTTCAAGTGAAACCTCGCCACAAGGCAAATGCACTAAAGCGCTCAAACATAATTCCTAAATCCAAACCCTAACCTCAATGTAACTTCAAAGCCTGAAGCTCAAAGCCTGGACCAAAGCTCCTGTTGCCTCAAACCTATTTGGCCGAAATCCTAAACCGCGTTAACAACATGCAGCAGATCTGAGAGTTTGGTCTGCTAGCAGGAGCAGCGCTAGCGGTAGTGCTGGTGGCGGCTGTTGCGGTCGTCGCCGTCGTCGTAGTAGTGGTAGTAGTACTGACAGCAGCAGCAGCAGGAGTAGTCGTCGTCGTGGTCGTCGCAGTGCTGTAGTCGTAGTCGCACGTAGTCGCAGTCGCAGTGCTGTAGTCGTAGTCGCAGTCGCAGTCGCAGTCGCAGTCGCAGTAGCAGTAGCAGTAGTAGTAGTAGTAGTAGTAGTAGTAGTAGTAGTAGTAGTAGTAGTAGTAGTAGTAGTAGTAGTAGTAGTAGTAGTAGTAGTAGTAGTAGTAGTAGTAGTAGTAGTAGTAGTAGTAGTAGTAGTAGTAGTAGTAGTACTAGTACTAGTACTAGTACTAGTAGAGTAGAGTAGTAGTAGTAGTAGTAGTAGTAGTAGTAGTACGAGTACTAGTACTAGTACTAGTACTAGTACTAGTACTAGTACTAGTGGAGTAGGCGTAGGAGTAGGAGTAGGACGAGGGAGTAGGGAGTACAGGAGTAGGAGTCGGAGTGGTGGTGGTGGTGTGGGGTCGAACAAGAAGTAGTCAAGCCTGTATGGTCAATCCCACATTCTAACTGCCAAACCTCCATGAGCACGGAAACCCCCAGGCCCTAAGCCCTGAACCCTGCCAGCACTTCCCAGCTCTATGCTCACACGGCTTGTGCTTAACGAGGCTTCCCTTCGATGTACACATGCTTGTGGGTTCGTGTACGATGATACGGACAGCTAAGTGAGATGCTGGATCCCATCAGCCCCAAAACCAGAAGCCTGCAGCCTGGACCTTACATGCTAAACCCCTAAAGCGCTGACCCTAAACTAGTAAATCCTAAACATATGGGGGGACAAATATTTTTCCCCAATATGTTTAGTAAATCCCATAGTAGCCCTCCCAGGAAATCCTACTCGTTTATCGCTCAGGGCTGACAGGTTGAGGGTTGCAGCTGATCTTGAACAGCCGTACTGTCACCACCAGACGCTGCGTCGCCCCACGTCACGACCCATCCATCGCCAAGAATGGCTGCAAAAGCGGTAGGAGAGGATTGTATTTGCAGCACGTTCTTGAGCTGGTGGTTTACAGCACTACTGTCACCGCCAAACTTTGAATCGCCCCAGGTCACGACAAATCCATCGCCAAGAAGGGCAGCGAAGGCATAGTCAGTGGCTTGAACCTGCCGCACATTCTTCAGCCGATCCTGCACAGTACTGCTGTCCCCACCATCCGCTGCATCACCCCAAGTCACCACAGACTCATCGTCAAGAATGGCTGCAAAAGAAGAAGCGGAGGATTGTATTTGCTGCACGTTCTTCAGCTGGTGCTGCACGGCGCTGCTATCACCCCCACAGTCAGCATCGCCCCAGGTCACAACAGATCCATCGCCAAGAATCGCAGCAAAAGCATTGTCAGAAGCTTGGATCTGCTGCACATTCTTCAATTGATCCTCGACGGCACTGCTGTCCCCGCCACGAAAGGCATCTCCCCAGGTCACGACAGAAGCATCGGCTAGAAGTGCCGCAAATGCGCGAATGGAGGCCTGTATGTGGACCACACCCTTCAGCCGATCCTGTACCAAGCTGCTGTCACCACCATAGCCGGCCAGGCCCCATGTGACGACCGATCCATCGCTACGAACGGCAGCAAACGCCTCGTTGGTGGCTTGGAGTTGCTGCACACTGTGAAGCTCATCCTGCAAAAGAGTGACATCGCCAAGGGTGTACGAATTGCCCCAGTTGACGACAGATCCGTCACGAAGAATTGCGGCAAACGCGGAGTAGGTAGCTTGGATCTGCTGCACATTCTTCAGTTGATCCTGCACATCGCTGCTGTCCCCACCCCAGAACTTATGGCCCCAGGACACCACAGATCCATCGCCAAGAATAGCAGCAAAAGCGGATGAACAGGATTGTATTTGCCGCACGTTCTTCAGCTGGTGCTGCACGGCACTGCTATCACCTCCAGACCCAGCGTCACCCCAGGTCACGACAGATCCATCGCCAAGAATGGCAGCAAAAGCATCGTCAGAGGCCCGAAGCTGCTGCACATTCGCCGGCTCGTTCTTTAATGCCGCAGCCTTGCGATCACCCCAGGTCACAACAGACCCATCACCAAAAATGGCAGCAAAAGCTCGGTGGGCAGCGCTGATTTGAGTGTTTGCAACCTGCAGCATAAGCCAATCACCACTCTTCAACTTAGCCTCACACAATGTTAAGGCCCCATCCAGAGTGACCCCAGAGGGGTCTACCAGGTGGCCACGGCCAACTGCTAGTGAGCTTTCGGCCCGGTGCCGCAATGTGTTCACAGAATCATCCAACTCTGCTTCCACTGAGACCGTTCTGCCACTTAGGAGGTGCACGTGGATGCTCAGAGGCATGGTGGATCTACGAACAAACCTCTATCAAAGCAAGATCAACGATCCGTGGGCACCTTTCCACTCCCCAGGCCCCACCTGGGAGTTTCCGAAAATTAGGGCTACCTTACTTGGGTTCCTTATAATAAGGATCCTACTACTTAGGGTACTATACTAGGGTCTCCTATTTTGGGAAAACTCCCAAACTGCTTGCAACCATGAAAAAGTAACTCCCTTAATGGGGGTTCCTATAAAGGTAGTATACTGCCCCAAATTAGGGGACCCATTTTCTAAACCATGAAGAAACGCCCAGAGCGAGCGGGGATCTGGAGAGCCGAAGGCACGGAGATTTTGGGGGCTGGAAGACTCTGCTGCATAGGTGGTTGTCAAAATCATGGTACCCTTTTTGGGTCCCTATTGTAGTACGGCACCTAATATGTAGGGTACCCATAAAGGGACCATAATTTTGACAATTACCCATGAAAAAGCTCCCTAAACCCTAAACCCTAAACCCTAAACCCTAAACCCTAAACCCTAAACCCTAAACCCTAAACCCCGAGGGCACGAAGATTTGGGGCTGGAAGACTCTGCTGTACTGTTGATGGACAAAAAAAACCTGCATTACCGATTGTATCTGGGCTTTTAAGTAACCAAGGAGAAAAAAGTCGAAACTTTTATTTCATAATGGTTCCTTTAAGGAAAAAAGTATTAAAGTATAGTACTCCAAAGCCCAGGTATGGAATAGTTCCCATAGTTTAGAGTCCTTAGGGTCATGCAGGATTTTGTACATCAGCAATATGGATCATCACCCCCAAAAATCCCCCAAAGCCACAAAGACAATCTGTCACACTGGAAGAAAGAATAGCTGCCTGATGCCTTTACAACTGAAAGCTGACCTACAGTAGAAGCCCAAAAGTTGGAAACCTCATAGCCTCAATCCTTAAGAGCAAGGTACAGGGAATCCCAGAACTATTTGGCCTTGATCCGGTTTCCAACTTTGTGGGGTTTACTGTAATTCTGCATAGCCCCCTAAACCCTAAAGCCATAAACCCCCCAAGCCCTAAATCCCATGGGACTTTATGAAGTCTACTGTATGACCTAGGCCTCCAAAAACATGAGAGAGGTTCGACGATCGGGCACAGGAGCCGTTTGGGCCTTGAGAATAGTAATAGGGTTTAGGGTTTAAGGTATTTCTGGACAAACACCTAAAATTACAATAAGGGGCCGGCAGGAATAACATTAGTGCTTATTTCTCCTCCTTTTTTAGGGCATCGGGTATCCAAGGTTGCCGGTCCGAGGTAAGGTACGTTAGGGTGGCTGATGAAACCCTGGCAAGGATTGGGAAAGTATCGAGTCCCTAAACCCTAAACTCCAAGTCCCAAACCCCAACCGGGGGGGTGCGTGGGTGGGGGGGGGGGGGGGGGGGGTACTTAGAGGATCATGGGACTTAGTAAAGCACCGTAAAAGGGGCGATAAGTATAGCCACCCTAATAATAACTCTAGTTACTATGAAGGGCAGTCTATGTTGAAAGGAGACCCTAAACCCTAAACCCTCAACCGGGAGTTCCAGGAACCCCACACCGGCTCCTAGTCACGAAGTGTGCTGTTTGTTGCGGGGGGTACAACAGAGGGGTTGGTCTGAGGTTTAGGGCTTGGGGTTTATGGTGTAGGGTTTAGGGGTTTGGGTTTATGGTGTAGGGTTTAGGGTTTAGGGTTTAGGGGTTTAGGGTTTAGGGTTTAGGGGTTTGGGGTTTATGGTTTAGGGTTTAGGGTTTAGGGGTTTATGGTTTAGGGTTTAGGGTTTATGGTTAAGAAATAGGAAGAGGCCCTTGCGTATCCGCGTTTAGGGTTCGGGGTTTTGGGGTCCTTCAACATTTCCAGTCGGCATCGTGATAAATGTATGTCTCGCTGGGTACGATGCAATTTGTCGTCCCTGGTCCCTTGGCCTTTTATGCCTTACTAGTAGTATCCTTCGAGCCTTCACCAACTCAATAACGACCCCGAAAGACGATTATCCACGTATCTTAAATCAAAACAAGATAAAACGCCTGTAATTGAGGTTGGATTCCTCATCAGAAGGCTCATATCACCCAAAAGGCCCAACACATTCCTTCGTTCAAGGGGCATAGGGCTACTGGCTCAGGGATTTATGGGTTTAAGGGCTTAGGTTGAGGGTTATGGGAGGGTCCAGTGGGTATAGGAGGAGGACCACCGTCTTGGGGATCTCATTCTTTAGGGGTCGAACCCAGAACCCAAAAAACCATGGACTACCCAAAGACGTCAATTCTAGCGTGGCGGAAAACCAGGCGATTCTGCTTGTTGCTGAGGCTGCTTGCACATCAAGTGTTGTTGCAAACGGTTTAGGGTTTAGGGTTTAGGGGACTCGGAATCCTAGACTCCTAGACCTTAGCACGCGGCATTCGATATAGTTTTCGAACTCCCCCTCGAAGAGCCTCAGGAACCATCGCATCGTGCGTGCGAGCTTCATCAAAGCTTTGGAAGTGCAGGGCTTGGGCTGTTGGGCTTTAATTGGGGGGTTTTGGCCAAAATCCAACAGCCTAATTCAGCCTTACTTGGAGGATCATGGGACTTAGTAAGTCAGGTTATGAGTAACCTAATTAGGGTTATAAGTATAGTTAGCCTAATAATAACTATAGTTACTAAAACCCATGATCCTTTAAGCACACCCGACAGCATAGGATATGGGACTTCGGTTTTTTTTACTCCGGTGAGCTACAGGCTCGGCATTGCCTGGTCATGGTCGTGAATCCCCAGATCGGTTGCGTTTAGGACTTCTGGCACGAGGCGGATGACGATGATGACGATGATGATGATGCTGGTTTAGGCTTTAGGGTTTGGGTCGGTTGGCATAACACGATCTGACCAGTCCGGGACTGCGACGCAAGCAAGAGAATCTAAGCGTGCAGGGCCGTCCTGACACACACACACACACACAAACAAACGAACGAACGAACAAACAAACAAACAACGAACTCACTTCCTCACCAGTGCACTGACTCACTTACGCACTACTGGGGCCCTAAACTACTAACCTACTAACCAACTAACTAACTAGCTGACTGACTACCTAACTAGCTAACCAGTTGACTAACCGACGAACTAACGAACAAAGCAACGAACAAACTAAACCCGAAACCTCATCGAATAAAGTGTGCAAGCGCCAAGGCCCCAGCCGTTTTATCTCACCGTCGGTCGGTGTGCCTTTCATCTGCTCCTCAAGGCTTCGGGGCCTCCCTTAGCTCTTTAGCTCCTTGTTTAATAAGGGGTTATCATCATCCCTGGCTCCTTAGCTCCTCAAATATCAATGGTTAGTTAGTGCGCAGGCTCGAGGAGCTAGTGTTTAAGCACCCACGATTTGCTGAGTCAGTCGTCGCAATGCTTCACGCTATCAGAGTCCGCTGCGTGACTCAGACTAAGAAAACCCCCGCCCCCATGGGAGATTTCACAAAGTGAGGGATCCTACCATGACCCCGAAATAGCTGGATCCTTAACGCAAGGATAACCCTAAACAGTAAACCCTAAACCCAGCCGGAAGAGTCCAATGCATGCTTCCGCAAATGAAGGCCGAATCAAGCCCTCAATTCGTGAATTCAGGAATACTGGGCTCTCTGGGTAGGCTTTGGGGTACTCAGGCTTGGCGGTTGAGGGCTGGGTTTAGGTAGCAGTGTGTTGAATTGGTGGCTGAGGGTTTCGGTGCTTACTGGGTCGACCGGTTCAAAATATTTCAGATCGAGGTCTAATCACTACGGTTGATGATATAAATCCTGCATTACCCTCAATGGGAAATACATCATAAATCCCATAGTTCAGGGTCCTCAAGCTAATGCAGGATTTATATCATCAACCGTGGCATTGATGAACGGTACTCTGATAATCCCCGTGTAGCTATTCCATCATATGCCCCCCGAACCCTTTTCATATGCTGCATGCTTGAGAAAGGCACCTACAGTGAACGTCCTGTTTCAGAACCCACTGCTTAAGAACCTGAGCCCCTACCCCGGGCGGGATTGGCAAAATTCAGGCTGCTTCAGAATTAAGAACCTTAGGCTACCCTAGCTTTCGGGGTCAGGTCCTTTTCTTATGTTGGGTGGAGGTGGTTTCGTTGTGGCTTGGGGCAGGGGTGCGGGTGGGGTTGGGGGCAGGGTGGGGGTGGGCTTGGGGCCACCCCACAGGCAAAAAGGAATTAGTGGTGGGGGTTGGGGGCAGGCCGAATTAGTGTCAGACACTAATTCGTTTTACCGGCAAGGGTGGATACCGCAGCCATTTTGGCTCAAGGTACACGCTGCGCCTATGTAAGAACGTTGCTAAGAACCTCAGCCTACCCTAACTTCTCAGCCGGCAAAATCAAAGGTAATTGACATAAGAACCCTAAACCCTAAACCCTAAACCCCAAACCCTATAGGGTAGCCTACTCGCTCGGATGAGGGTTCTTATACAGGGACTTTCACTGTATATCAAACTCAGACACATCTAAAAGATAGCACGACAACCACGGAAAAGCCCACTTACACAAGAACACAAACAACCCTCTAAACAACAAGCACAAAAAACCTCAAACACTAAACACTAAACCCAAAAAACACTCACACCAAACCCTAAACCCTTTAGAAACAAGAATCTCTGCAGGGAGGCCTCGAGTCGGTCGCAAAGGAGTCGGTTAAGCTCCTTCGGCCGGTATAGGGTTTAGGGTTTACTGGTTAGGGTTCCTTAAAGGGATCTATAGGGTTCCTTAAATGGATCTATAGGGTTCCTTAAAGGGATCTATAGGGTTCCTTAAAGGGATCTATAGGGTTTAGGGTTTAGGGTTCAGGGTTTAGGGTTTACTGGTTAGGGTTTAGGGTTTCAGGGTTTTAGGGCTTAGGGCTTAAGGGTTTTAGGGCTTAGGGCTTAAGGGTTTTAGGATTTAGGGTTTAGGGTTTAAGGGTTTTAGGGTTTAGGTTTTGAGGGTTTTAGGGTTTAGGGTATAGGTTGGGTACTGCCCCATACAGTAACTGGGTTTAGGGCTTAGGGCTTAGGGAATGAAAGGGGCCTTATAAAGGGGTCTATAAGGGTTACCATAAGGGATCTATAAGGGTACTATAATATGGGGGCCTTAATAATCCTATAACTTACCTTTGGTGAGTAGAGAATGGAAGAATGGTAGAAGTAGTAGTTATAATTCCTCCATTCCCTACTAACCAAAGGTAAGATAATAGGGCCAGTATTAGGGTCCGAATATATCTGTATTATGAATATTATCTAACTGTTAATGAGTGGGGGCAGTACCCAAGGTATAGGTGCGCGTTTAATGACTCTAACGAGGCCCGTTCTTTTGAAGGTGCTACAAGGGGCCTCTAATCGTTAGAATGGGGCTCTTGTGATACAGCGTTACGATAAGTCTGTTAAGTGCTGTTAAGGTGCAGTGCCAGGTGTTGGGGCTTTGGGATGTGGGGTGTGCATTTTTACTGTCTAGGGTTGAGGCTCCGAAACCCAAAGCCCAAACGGCCTTGGGCTTAGGATTCAAGGCTTGCGTGGTCCTAGAAACCCAGAGCTAAAGTACAGTTTGGGGTTCAGGGTGTCGGGTTTACTAAGCCCAAAAACCCATGATGTAACAACCGCATGAAACACTGTATACAGCTTCATTTAATCCCCAAACTCTACAACCCTGAACCCCAAAAGACTCGTCCCGAAATAAACCCAAAAGCGCATTGAACTCTTATGCCCCTCCACGCCTGTGCGTCGTGCTGCATGAAGGCATCCGCCGTGTCCCAGCCAAAAGAGCGCATCAGCTCTCTGCAAGAAACAGCGCCCTGGCGAGGCTGGCTTCTGGGTTTAGCGCTTACGTCCAATCCGAAAGCACCCTCAACCCGAAACCGCCCAAAACTATAAACCCCAAACCGAAAGCCTTCACCCCTCAACCCGAAACCCCTAAACCCTAAACCGTAAGCCTTAACCCCTTAACCCGAAACCCCAAACCTTAAAACGCAAGGCTATCATAGGCCTGTGGCCCGGCGTGGTCGCTGGTCTGCAGCCGGTAGAAAAGATTCCTGGGCTTTGAAGTCCCTAAACCCTAAACCATACTGGTTCCTGTAGATGTCATAATGGTTCCTTTAAGATTTCATGATGGTTCCTTTAAGATTTCATAATGGTTCCTTTAAGATTTCATAATGGTTCCTTTAAGGAAAAAAGTATCAAAGTACTGTTGATGGACAAAATCCTGCATTACCCACTATAAGGAATATACCATAGTTCCCATAGTTTAGAGTCCTTAGGGTCATGCAGGATTTTGTCCATCAACAGTATGGTACTCGCAAGCCCAGATTCTGGAGGCTGACCAGCAGCGGCAAGGCCTGCAACTCTGCAAGACTTTTTGAGCTTCCTTTATGGGGCTTTCAAGGCTTTAGGGTTTTAGGGTTTAGGGGTTTAAGGGGTTGAGGGTATAGGGTTTGGGGTGTAGGGTTTGGGGGTTTAGGGTGTACGGGTTTAGGCTTTGTCTTAACCCCAAACCCTCAAGCAACACGAGCCTTAGAAACAAAAACAGATCCCTCACAGAACCGTCACAGCACCGTAACCTTTGTAGAGCTCTTGTAGAACGCTGAGGTCTGCGCCGGCCGGTCGTCATCAAAGCCCAGAGTGTCCGAGATGTCGTCGCTAGAGACGACAGCCTCGCCAAGGAGGATTAGACTTGAAGGCAAATTTGAATATCCCAACCCAAGACCAGAAAATACAGAAGTTTAAGGTTTAGGGGCTTAGTTCAGGCCTGTTCAACCTGAGGGGTTTAGTATGGGGTTTTAACACGGGGTCTGCCGGGTTCAGCAAGGTTCTCGAAGCGTTCAAAAGGCATGCCGGGTTCGAACCCTTCACTCTAAGGCCTCAGCTCTAAACCCTGAATCCTACACTCTAGCAGTGGCATTCGGATTCAGGGTTCAAGGGGCCTAAGGTTGAAGGAGTTAGGGCTTTAGGGGCCTGGGCCTCTGGGGCTGTAGCGTTAAAGGCGTGTCTCAGGGTTTTGGGCTTTGGAGATTTGGGGGTTTAGGGCTTATGATTGGGAGCTTCCTTAGGGCTTTAGGGTTTAGGGCTTATGATTTAAAGCTTCCTTAGGGTTTAGGGTTTAAGGTTTAGGATTTAGAGCTTCTTTCGGGTGTAGGGTTTAGGGTTTAGAGCTTCTTGGCGGTTTGGGGTCTTTCTTGGCAAAGCATGTTGGTGTTGTAAAGGGTGCCAATCGCGGTTCAAGGCTTCGGGGTTTAGAAGCCGGGCTTTCGGACACTTCTAAGCCCTGCCCGCGAAGGGAGACGAGCCCTAAACCCTAAACTTAACCCTAAATCCCTGACCCCAAATCCTCCATGAGCCCCAAGCCGCAAGCCCTAAACTCCAATACCCCTGTTCGTAAGGAATAGAACAAGCTATAGTAGGATTCCTAATATGAGTGAAGGTATGTTCCATAATCAACGGAACCCTAATACGGTTGGAGGTATTCCATAATCAACGGAACCCTAATACGATGGCAGGTATATTCCATAATCAACGGAGCCCTAATACCCTAAACCCTAAACCCCCTACGCCCCAAACCCCATGGTTTTTTTCCGAGCCTGTTGATCAGTTTCTGGGACCTCGATCGAGTAGGCGATGTGCCGAAAATGGCCTGCCGACCAAAGGCCCGTTTAGGGTTTAGGGTTTGGGGTTCAGGGTATACGCGGTCGAGGTATTTTGGGAAATTAGGTTGGTGCTTCGGGTTTGAATGTCGTCCCAAATATGCACGTGCCTTCAAAAGCTCCGGGGGCGCCGTTAACGGTTCTCCTCTCAGGTTCCTACAGGGTTCCTTCCTAGGTGAGGGTTCATGTTAGGGTTTAGGGTTTTAGGGTTGCTTTTGCTTTGCTGAGCCTAAACCCCATCAAGGGGCCACTATACTTTCTGCAAGGTCCAGAAAGCATTGCCACAGGCTGGCGCTGTCGAACATGGTGGCAAACTCATACACAGAAAAGGGGCAGCGACAGCAATCAGAGTACATAAGCCCTAAGCCCCTAAACCCTAAAACCTAAAACCCTAAACCCCTAAAAACCCTGAAACCTTAAAACTCTAAACCTGGAAACCCCCACCAAACCCTAAAGCCCCTAGAGTGCCCTCGACCCTGCACCCTAGACTCGCAGCATCCTTTAGGGTTTAGGGGTATCGTGCCTAAACTAACCCTCAGGGTCCAAGTAGTGCTTATTTATGGTTTTTGGTGCCCAAAAAGGCTTTAAAGTCCTATAACAGGGAGTACTTGGACCCTCTGGGCAACCTAAAGCCTAAACCCTACTCAAAGGATCATGGGACTTAGTAACTAGAGTTATTATTAGGGTAATTTATACTTAGAACCCCAATTAGGGCTCTTATACATAACCTTACTTACTAAGTCCCATGACCCTCCAAGTAGGGCCTGAATCCTGCTTAATCTTATCTGGGGCCCCTGCACTCTAAACCCTGAGTTTGGGGACGAAGCCTAAACTTTTGAACCGCCAACCCCGCCCTAAATCCTAACCCCCGAAAGTCCTTAATTCTGATGGAGTCTGAAGGGAGCACTGGGTTCTTCAGCTATTTCGCTTAATCTGGGTCCTCACGCATTGAGTCTAGGGTTGCGGGTTGTCGATGTCAAAATCCACAAGAATCAGAAACTGAAACTGTAGAAGCATCTATTCGCCCCCCTGGGGCTCCACACCCAGACAAAATAGAGTCTGAAGTAAGCAATTCCTGAGCTTGGCGTGGGTCTGAGAGTTGGGAGTTTCCGAAAACTTAGGTGGTACCTTGTTTCGGGGTCCTTACAATAAGGATCCTACTATGTAGGGCACTATATTACTTGGAGGCCCTGTTGACTTAGTAAGTCTACTCAGTATCCCCTAGAAACCCTATTATAATCCTCATAACCCACCTTACTAACCCTACTTACTAAGTCAAAAGGGCCTCCAAGTAGGGTCCCCCCCCATTTTCGGAAAGCCCCAGTTTAGGGCTCAGGGATGCGGGGATTCGAGCAGGTTCTGCATTGGATCAAGGGCTTACGGTATGGGCCCAGAGAGCCCAACACCCCTTAAAGAAGCAATATACCTTACATGAAAAGGGGCTTCAGATTATGATTTAAGCCATATTCCTTAATTAAGTGGTATTGGGCTCTCTGGGGGGTGTGCTAGTCTCCGACCCCTCGGAGGCCTGGTTGATGGGGTGGGTCACGAGCATGGTCAGGGTTGGGTCGGCGTTTCGCTTCGAGTCTCAAGAGCACGACATGCAGCGCGAGGAAAGAACTCCTTTGGGTCGGCCCTCGACTGCCCAAACTCTTGCCCTACCCGGGTTTAGTGTTTACCAAGACCCCACAAAGTAGGCAAAATAATGACCCAAAACCCAAAAAAGCCCATTATTCTACTCCAACCTAGTTATCCATCCCAACCTCTGCGACAACGAGCTACCCCAAACTGCTCTGAAGCCTCGACCCCCTCAACCCCTAAACCCCACCCTGAGCCCTAAACCCCAAATCCCGGAGCCTGAAACCCGTAGCCTTGAAAGCCAAATCGTGCCAAAACCTGGACGCTCCCCCGTTCAAGCCTCCATGTCCAAGGAGGGTTTAGGACTTAAACGGGCTCCTAGAAGGGTCCCCTTAAGGGATCTCTAAGGAATCTGTAAGAGGTTTTCTTAAGGTTTAGAGCTTCTTTGGGGCTGCGATTGTTTAGGGTTTCGGGTTTGGAGCCTATAGAGTTGAGGTTTTGGGCGTAGGGTTGTTTAGGGTTCAGTGCTTAGTGGCTTAGGCTGAGGGCTGAGAGGTCTTTACGTGGGTAAGGGGTTAATATGGGCGCCTTAATAATTAGAACAGGGTTTTGGGGCCCCATTATACTATAAGTATAATCAGAAACCCTAACAATAACATTGGGTAATTATTTCGGCGCCTGTGTTAAGGGGCCAAGGGTTTTTGAGCGAAAGTGGCTGGGGTCGATGGGGTTTCCAAAAATTAAGGATACCTCATTTGGAGTCCTTATAATAAGGATCCTAGTGGATGGGTACTATATTACTTGGAGGATCATGGGAAGTAGTAAGTAGGGTTATAAGTACCCTAATTGGGATTACAAGTATAGCTACCCTATTCATGACCCTAGATACTAAGTCCCGTGATCCCTTAAGTAGGGTCCCCTGTTTTTCGGAAACTCCCATATGAACCCCTATAGAGCGCTTTAAAGGAACCCTCAACCTAGCCCTTGAAAGGAACTGTTAGGGTCCCCTCTTTTCGCAAACTCTCTTTTCTGGGCCCAAGGGCATGTAGCAGGTGGCCCCATGGTTCTTGAGCCCAACGTAGTTCGCCAGTCTCCTGCTTCGGAAGTCACGGGTTTTCGATGAGGGGGCTTCCGAGAATAGGGAACCCTAATTAAGTACCCTAAATAGTAGGATCCTGACTATAAGGCCCCCAAAATAAGGTACCCCTAATTTTCGGAAACCCACATAAGAATTCATAATACTACAAGGGCCCTTTCCATAGAAGTTCTGTAAGGGTTCTACCAAGCAGGGTTTGGCGGTCAAGGTTTAGGGGAAGTCTTCCAAACGAAAACTGTCTCAGATTGTTTTTTTGAGGTGCCTCTTTCCATCCGCCGGCATGGAATCCCGCATAGGCAAGTCAACGGTGTAGCTTATTTGAAGCGAGTTTAGTCTACGTGCAACGTCCGAACGAACTACCCCCATGCTGCACGAAGAGGGGAAGAACAAACCCCATCTCCCCAAAAAACACAAGAACCCCTCAACGACTCAGGGGGGTTGTCTCTTGGGTTAGGGGTTCGGGTTTGAGGATTTTGGGGTTAGGAGAACTGAATACCCCGACCAGCTCTGCGCGCAGCCTCGAGTTCGGACATCCACCCCTGAACGAAACCCCTGATTCCTAAACTAATGTAGGGTCCTTAATAATTAGAATGGTGTTTTGGGGCCCATTATACTCTAATCACAATAAGGAACCCCCAAAGTGGTATAAGCCAGTATTGAGGCTCCTATATTAAACTCTCCACCCCTGCAAACCCTAGACCACGTGTAAGACCGCTACTCCCAACAAGGAAAAGAAGAACAGAAACTGATGTAGCGGTTGGAATACGGTCTCGGTGCATTTTGTGCTCCAGGTATAGGGACGATAAGGGATTACCATATCTTGCATCCAGTCCTACTACACTAAACTGTAAGCCCTCAAACCCCAAACCCTAAACCCAAACTCTAAACGGCCCTTAATCGTATTTAGACCCCTATCAGACCCTGATCCCTGAAGAGCAAAGAGCCTGCCAGGTGTTTGGACCATGGCCCGCCGGGAGGAGCAACACTGGCGGTGCGGTTGTTTTGGAAGCGGTTTGGGGGCTTCGGGCTTTTCGGTTTTGGGAAGTTTTCTTTTGTTTTTTCTAATCGCCCCTTTTCCTCACCGCCTCAAGGTTGGTCCGGAATGCCTGTCAGGCTGAGGCTTTTGGAGGGTTTAGGGATTCTGCTACCACAGGGGTCTTTTTTCAAGAATAGGGTTAGTCTTGGTAGTCACGTATATTTAGCTTGGGTGCTTCGGGCTTTTGGGTTTCGGAGAATTTAGGGCTTTGGGCCTTTGGGGTTAGATCCTAGGGTTTAGGGCTTAGGGGGGCCTGAGATTCAGGGTCTAGGATTATGGACTGGGTCTGGGAGCCGTCCGTGCAGTGTGGGTATAGGGTGCATGCTTAAAGGATCATCGGACTTAATAACTAGGGTTTTTGTTGTAACCCCAATAAGCTTATAACCTTACTTACTGAGCCCCATGGTCCTCCAAGTGCTGCTAGTATCCCCAGAACTCACCATGGCCCAAACAAGTCCGAAATACGAAGGGACAGCCATATAGAGCTTCATTAGCATTCGAAAGCCGATGTTGCTGCTTTGCAGCTTGAAGAACTTCCACAAGCTTGTCCAGATTGCTCAAAAGAGTGTTCCATGCTGCCGCATTGAAAGAGTCACGAACCCAGAGACTCCATTCCTTAATTGAGCAATATACCCTAAACCCTAAACCCACCCCCACCCCTCCCCCTCGTGGCGCACCGCTCGCAGGCAGAGCTCACTGTTCTCGCTCAGCCATCCGGTCTCGGAACTCATGTCCTTTGCCTCTGCAGGGGCAGTTTGTTTAGGGCTTTGGGTTCCTTTGCAGGGGCCTATAAGGGCTACTATAAGGGATCTGTAAGGGTTTTATAATCTAGGGGCCTAAATAGTTAGAATAGGGTTTTGGTGTCCATTGAACTATAACCATAATAAAGATCCCCCAAAATAGTATTAGTATTTATTGAGGCCCTATATTAGGGCTTTGGGTTTTTTTTTTTTTACGTGTAGTGACCCTTTCTCCGCTGCAGCAAGGTCCAGAGCCTGCCTGGTATCAGGCGTACACAGGGTGACAGGAAGATCAAAATTTTCTTCCACAAGTCACCGAAATCACAGAAAACTCCTCAGCCCCTCAATAGACGCAAAAGCACGTCAACTATCTCGACTTCGACTGCGATCTCTCTCACCTCTCTCACCATCACCGTTCAAAGGCAGGTTCCTGCGTCGAACCCCAAGCTGACGACGCCGTACAGGTTCAGGGGTAGGGCCAAGAGGAAGATCCCAGGCAGCACGGGAACCAGCTGTAGACCCACGAGAATCGGCAGGAGGAGCCCGTAGTGGACGAGGTGCACGTGGAGGTGGACGGCGAACTTGATGGCGACGACGTCCGCGGACACCCGAGGGAGCATCGCCACGTACTGGACGAGGTACATCAGTAGGCCAGTTGAGAATGGCTTGACCCTCTTCTGCCTGAAGAAGATGCAGATCATTATCATTTTCCGCAGGCCAGCGTCCTTCTGGAACAAAGCCGTCATCGTAAGCCATGACAGTTCGGGCATTTCGGCGCCAAGCCCGCCGGCGATAGCCCACCAAGACATGATCTGGTTGACTAGGTAGAACATCACGAACTTCCTCTGCGGTGAGTGGAAACCCTGGGGCCAGGACAGCCGTAACATTGGGAGTCACCGAAGGTCCAGTAGACGAGCTAGGTCCTGAACCGAACGAAGCTTCTTGATGTACTGCCTGCATCACATTTCTCTCGTATATTCCTGCGTTCATTGGCGTGGCAACCAGGGGGTCAGGGATCCAACGGAGGGCCTCTTCAACCGCGACCATCAACAGACGGTGTTGGTTCTGTAAGTGACGCTGCCGTTGGAGAAGTCGCCGAAGGAGCTCGATGGTATCGGTCTGGCCTCCGTGAATGAGGTTGCCATTCACAGTGTCCCGGACAATGTCTGAAGGCCATATCAAAGCAGACTCGGCCGGCAAACCCACCACCAAGGACGAGGTCGTTGATGTAGTAGATGTGGTTGAGGCAAAACACGTCTCCGTCAGAGCCAAGCCAACCAGGCCATCAAATCTCCCAAGAAGAGATTCATTCATCGAAGTAGGCACTCCCATTTCCAAGGGCGTCCCCGAATAGCAGCTCGCAAATGTAGTCGTAGAGGTCGATGACAAAGAGAAATCTGTATCCCATGACTGCATTGCAAGAGCAGTCTCAGTGGTGGAGGCTGTGGTAGAAGACCATGCCAAGGTAGAGCTCGAGGACATCGCCGTTGCTGCCAGTTCCAGAGGAGTAGCAGGGCCCTCATGGTCAGCAGCCGCAGGTACTTCATCAGCCGGGGATGGCTCCGGCTCACGCCAGATGCCCATGAGCTCAGTCGGAGCCAAGTGCAGGGGTACAGAAGAGGGTGAAGAGACCAAGGCAGGAGCATTGACCGGCAGAGGGACCGGAGGGCCAAAGGGGCCAACTGTTTGAGCTCCATGACTGGCCGAACTACCCTCACCATCCGAAATCAGGTTGCTGTCAATGGTGGGGACATACAGTGAAGTTCCCGTTGGACTGCGTGATCTGGTCCTTCTTGCCCGTCGTCGTTCTGCCCGTCGACGTGTACCACTCCCAGAAGAAGCCGCCATCGTGGATGTGGATCGCGGCAAAGAAGACTCCCCTGCCCCTTCGCTGACGACGCTGCGAGTCTCGATAGAATCGGCAGGCGCGATCGGGGAGACTTCAGTATCAGCCGGCTGGAGTCGTACTGAGAGGTGACGCTCAAGAGTTTGCACGAAGAGGTCAAGGAAGTTTCGTGCCCAATTAAACATGCGCCATCGCTCTTCTTCTGCTCGCGGGACTCTGCGTACCGGTAGAAATCCTTGAGGAATAAATCGCCGAGAAATCACGACCTGCAGCGCCTCAAGAGCATCCATCCCATCCAGGAGTCTTGCATGTAGACAGCTGACCGCCCATCTCCCTTCAGCTCCTCGTCCCTCCACCTGCAGACGATCAAGGGAGTTGAGGAGGTTTTCCACTCGCTGCACCATGTTTGCAGGGACGCCTCTCTCCTCAAGGCGACGACGTTCAGCGCCTGTGAGTTGCATGAACGCCAAGTCCTCCTCCTCGTCGTCCTCACTATCACTTGGTGGGGCGGGCACAAAGGAAGGGCCACTCCCAAGAGAACGGACCTCCGGAAACAGCCCCCAGTTAGGTACAGGAGGAAAAGCAGGGACTGGAGCAGCAGTGGTAGTCGACGACACCGGTTGCACTCCAGGGATTGTGCCCACACTTGAGGTAGCCGACCCGGAAGGCAAAGAAGTAGTAGATGAAGTAGTCCAACTGTCTTCCCACAGAGACCAGTTCCATATGGCAAGCCGTGGTGGAGAGGTAGTCGACGACGTAGACGAGGAGTTCCAGGGAGACTCGTCCCAGTTCCATTGGCTCCATGTCCTCCATCTTCCCCCATTGTGGCCCCACGTCCAGTCAAACTGTCCTTCATCCGTGGATTCAGCAGGTGTCCAGGAGGTCCAGGAAGTCCAGGATGGCCAATGTGGATGAGGAGTGTGACTCCATTCCTCCCCTTCCTGCACTTCGGAGGTGGACGGTTCCACTGAGGTACCAACATCCTCCATTGCGGGATTTGCAGTCGCCTGGTCCACGTTGGTGGCCTCCCCTTGCGCCAAGAGAGCTTGCCGACGAGCTCGGTCATCAATGTAGCTCTGCAACCAGGCCGGTCTCCATTTGCCCTCAAAATATGCTTTCATACGACGCTGCTGCTTTATCCACCTCTGTATTCCCCGTCCACCCGCATGGGCTCTTGCCTCTTGGGCCGTTCTAGGACGATCAATCCAGACTCCGTGACGCCAAAAGCCGACGTTATTGGACGAGGAGGAAGGGTCTGCATCCGACGAAGCGGCCTCTGCATCAATTGTCGGCGCACACTCCGAGTTCCATGTATCAGAAGATGTACTCGGTTCACCATCCGCCTCCTCAAAGAATGTGGTGGAGTTCTCAGAGGCCGCCCCTGGACCGGATGCCCAAACTTGAAAGTCCGTGCCATAAAAGGTTTTAGCTTGGACAGCATAGCCTGACTCAGTCTGGTCAACCCCCGTGATCTCGAAGGCGTGCTCCTCCTCCTGGATCGATCCCAGTCGAGCTTCTCGTTCGAGTCGTTCTTGGAGGCGGCTTCGAATTGTCCCATTGGCATTGTGCCACCTGTCTCGTCCTGCCCGCAGGGAGTTGAAGCGACTAGTGAGCCCCTCGGTCGATTCCGGCCTTGACAAAGAGGACGAAGAGGACGAAGCAGAACAGGTCGAGGTCGAAGTTCCTTGTGTCCAGGCTTCTCCCCAAGGATCATCACGATGAGGCATCTCAACGTTGTGTGAGGAACCAGTGTGCGGAACTGGGCCGGATCCTCCCGTTGCAGGCGCCACCCACGAAGAAGATTCGTTTAGTGGACGAGAGGAGACATCGACCGACGACCAGGTACTGCTCGAAGACGAGGAAGAAGTCGGCCCAGTGGTTCTCTGTCGATCCATTTGGACAATCTCTCCCTGCGTGTCATTTCCCGATCGCATGGCCACCAGCAAGGTGGCAGGGTCCCGTCCAGGTTGGTGAGGTAGTCGTTGATCAGCGCGAACAGGTGGAAGAGGAGGTTGAGGATTGGGAGGAAGAGGTGCTCCAGCACGAAGGCGACGTCCGTCCCGAAGCCGTGCAACCCAGTCTCCAGTGTCTTGCTGGTCGCCCTGAGGAAGGTTCATCTGAAAAGGTAGGGGAACAACCTCAGGAAAGGGTGAGTTTTCCAGCGCTTGGAGTTCTTCACTCGCAGCAAGTGCAGCTTGGTCATCTTCACCGGCAAGGTCACAGAGGTGAGCCGCAAGGGAGACATCCTCGTCCCAGGCTGAAGCCATATACATACACTGATGTTCATACGTCCAAGTCGAGGGTGAAGGCTGCGGGCGCATAGTAGATGGTCTCGTCGAAGAGGAAGAAGAGGCGGTGCTATTCCTTCCCTCACCGAAGTCCGCTTCATCCCAGAGGGTCGCACGACACAGCGACGACCAGCACGCGCTGAGCAGCAGCGAAGGCCACAGAGATCGCCCCATTGCCAAGAAGAGGCTGGTTGAGCAGAGGCAGGGTTTCCCGGAAGGTCCTCGAGCCAGCTCAACGCAGAACAGAGTGTGAGGGAACTGTTGAACATGCGATGTCGAATTCAGTCAACGAAAGTCATCTCAAAGGTTTGTCTGTAACACATCTTCTCTGAGAACGCGTGACGGATCACATAGTGCACAAATGCAAATAAGCTCGGCAGAGAAACAGAAGAAAGAGAGGCAGCCAGGCAAAGGTCACCCAGGCAAGGCACAAGGAAGCCCACGAACAATTCAGTAGCGTAAGTACTTCACGAGTCGAGGCCAAACCAATGCTCAGAACCTAAGTGCAAGCTGGCTCCCACTTGTCCATTTAACATCCCACATGCGGAGGTAGTCAGATCTGGCAGCAACCCATTCGGCCCGATTTTGGGCACGAACAAACCACAAGGTGCCATGAGCTTCGGCCATTTGTCGCTCAGGATTGGCAGCATAGAAACGACATGGGTGACGCATTCCAATGGTACAAGAAAGGTCTTGCTGGAATCTCCACCAATGGGTGCACCTCCACAGGATCGCCTGCATGGGAAGACTGGGAAAACATTCACCCCTTTCGTGGTTCACTTCGACCCTTCTGGCCCAGTGGCCATGGATGTTATGTTGCAAGGTCAAGATCTTGGTGCTCCATCTTGGAATGCCATTGTTCGCAA